TAAATAATTTATATTGTTTATTTCAAAATAGTTGACAACTTATTCTCCATTGACAGCTTATTTTCATTCTTCAAAGAATGTGCGGAAGATGGTAGACAGAACCTACTACACCGAAGGCTCGGAACTAACTTATCAGGAGAAAAATCATCTGGTCGCATTTTGTACTGATCTTGAGAATTACAATGTCTACAATCGAACTCCTCAACATTATGGTCAATACGTGCCACTAGTGCACGTGTTGAACTACAGTAACTACCATGGAGATACCCTGGTAAGATTTTTTACTATTACGACATCCGTGCATCTTTTTGCACACTTCTAAAACTAGTACATCATATCATTGCTAACTACGAAGTTATTACTATGTTTTTCAACAGATAATCCCGAATGATTGTGTGCCTCATATGATGTATACACACGGTAGCCTTCATGTTTTGAACATACAACCAGGTCTTCCTATGAATCTGAACTGTCCATACCGGGTTTCTAAAAGAAGTGGAGACATGACAATCAAAGAATGGAAAAAATGTATGGACAGTCGTAAGGAGCTTCTTGGAAGCAACATTCAGCGAAGGGCAAAAATTGGAGACAGGATAATCGCCATTCTTCATAATGGAGAGTCAGGGTCTATATTGTTTTATGCTATTTTACCTTAAGGGTGTTTAGGTCCTACCTGATACTGATGATCATGTGTTAAGAACAATTATGTAGGGTTGGGTTCGATGACTATGAGGATGATGATCGTATGACTTATTATTAATAACGAGTAGAAGTTGTATGATGATGCATGATTAGTAGGACGAGTACTTGTTATTATATATGTTGATGTATGCGAGCATGCATGAGTTATTATATCAGCGGGTAAAATGAACATATATAGCAGCAGCGTTGGTAAACCAAGGACGAAGATATAAGAGAGGACACTTCTCTCTATTAGCTAGCTAATATAACAACCTAAAAATAACCCCAAAACCCCTAAAGCAGCCACTTTCCAAAAAAACATGGACTTTTGGTCCCGGTTGGTGCCACCAACCGGGACCAAAGGCCCCCTGACTGGGCTCGGCGCACAGAGCCACGTGGAGGCACATTAGTCTCGGTTCTTGTTTGAACCGGGACTAATGGGTGGAGGTATTAGTAACGGCCCATTAGTCCTGGTTCATGAACCGGGACTAAAGGCCCTCACGAACCGGGACTATTAGGTGTTTTTCTACTGGTGCTCTTAGGCATGTCATCCCCATCACTTGCTTCATCATAAGATAAATCATCTGCACTGTCAAAATAGGGTGTGACATCACCATCACCATTATCAAGCTTGCAATCCTCTGGGACAAGGAAATCCTCTGGCACATCAACTGCTTTCTCATCCTCTTCTCCAAGCATTTTGTTCCTGACTTTGTTCTTGAGTTCCCTTGCATATTTTCTGAATTCAATTGCTTCTTCATCATCAATAGAACTATTGTCTTCTTCTTCTAAATCAACCTCATAATCACTATCACTGCTTGTGGATTCATCTTCACCTCCTCTATTTCTTTTTCCTTCAGTCACCTTTGATTTTCCTGCCATGGAGCTACTTCCCTTCACAATCTTCCTACAAACTGGCAACTTATGTGGCCGATGAAATACATGTGCATTTTCAGCTACCTCATGTATCTCCTCTGCATCTACGAGTGGTTTCATATCTGCGAAACAAAGACAAAATACAACACATATATAAGCCCTCTGCACATAGATTAGATTGAATCCCTATGCAATCAAACCCGTGAAAAATCACACATATATGAGCCCTATAAACTGTTTCAACAATCAAACCTCTGAATCGATGTACAGTCAATCATAAAAACGTCCTGTTAAAATGAGTTTAGGAGCACATATTATTATTTGCTTCTGAATACTAAAAAATTCTGAAACGTACGTAACAGAGTTGATATGAGTTTAGTTTATTCAAAATTTAAGATGCTCTCCCATCCGGCTCATGCTAAAGGTATGCATGCAGCCTGGAATATACAGGGCATTTAGCAAAAAAAAAATGATTACTTCTAGAACACCTGCAGGCAGGCATCAACCTGGGTTATTGATTGTTAATTCTAGCAAGTGTCTAAAGGAGAACTGTTGATTGCAGAGTAGCTGTTTCAATTTGTAATGTAGCTCGCCGGCCGGCCGGTTGCTTAATTATGATCACACAAGTACCATCAAAATAATACTAAGATGGCAGTCCAGATTAGTCATGGAGCAACAATCAACAACTTGGAAAATGACAGTGGCCTGAAGGGAGCCAACTCGCATCTTCTGAATTTGAAAAAACTGCTTTAAAATCTTCAGAATCTAGACTGTTCAAGTGCATAGAGATGATCACAGTATACACACATTAACTAAACACACACTAGTCCGGTGCAACTGTGGTGCGTGCGTTAGTACTAATCACCTGATCAACAGGAACCAGGACAATCTAGGTAGGCGTGTGACATCTGAATTCACAAAGGATTGTTGGAGGCGACAGTTTCAATGGAGTAGTCGTGCTGCTCTCCTCAGCTGGCGATACAGTCACAAAGGATTGTTGCTGGGTATGGAGGAGCTGAGCGCTTCACCTGGAGTAGTCGTGCTGCTCTCCTCAGCCGGCGATCATCACGTCTTGCCCCGCCGCCATGATGTCGTCTCGTCGAAAGGAAAGAAGGGAACGAGGCCCAAACAAACAGGAGGAGCAGTTAAGTCCGAAACCCACCCTACCAAGCCGACGTGACAATAATGGAGAGCCACGCAAGCAAAACCACCGGCGAATACCACCCGAATTGGGATTAGGGGGCGATTTGACCAGTATTAGAGCTCTCAGGGGGTTAATTAACCGGTTTTAAAGGTGAGGGGGTGGATTAGTCGGTTTCTGAAACCCTGGGGGTGATGTGGACTTCTTTCTTATTTAACAAACAAATCTCTCCTCTAATCAGTACATCAGCAGCAAACAAGCAGCAAACCAGGCATATGTCTGCCCGCTCATCAGCTCCACCGCGACTGACGCCACGTACCAGCTCCTGGAAGTTTGCACGCTAGCTTCTTGCCTCCAGCCGTCTTGCGCATGACTTGGGCCTTGGCCTGCTAGGCCAGCTGCCACCCGGGCCTCTGCGCCTCAGCCCACCACCACCGCGCTGCCCTGGCCCTCGGCCGGCTGTCGCTGCACGCTCGTCCGCCTCCGTTGCACGCCAGATCATCATCCGGAATCGATCCGTGTCGCCGCTGCTTTTTCTGCTGCATCCCGCCGAGACGCGCCAGATCGATCTGGTACCGACCCGATCTGCAATACTCCCGAGATACGCGCCTGACGCCATAGCCTGCTTCCGATCGCTATCTGCAGCAGATATATTCGCCACACCGTTAAATTATTGTCCGATCAACTCGATCTGACGAATTCTTCCGTTCCTTCCTCAAGATCAACAGAACCGCAGCCTCCTCGTAACCTTGCTCTGATACCACTTGTTAGAATAAATTCAAGGCATACCGTTGATCATTCGAGGACCAAGCAATCGCACGAGGCACGACACTGAGATTTGTTAACGAGGTTCACCGATATGGCTACATCTTCGGGACCTAACTACGGGCGCTTCTCCTCGTGACACCGTCACAATACCGCACACCGGTCACCCGGGCGCCGGCACATGCCGCCGGCTCCCCCTTGCGCGCTTGTGCTATTATGTTGGCATAGGTTACATCGTGTGTCTACCCCCGCTATATATGAGAAGCCTAGGATACAAGTGTCCTACTAGGACACGACTCCATATCCTATATAAACACAATACTACTCAGAGTCCAACTGTAACCTACCTTGTACAGGCCATTGAGCGAAGCCATCAATATTAAGGTCGTCCATGACCGTGGGGATGTCAACCTCCACTTGCAAGCGAAGCGAAGCATTGATGCCAAACTTCCCTAGCGACAACGCGTTGAACTAGGATATGAAGCCGCTATGTCCTTCTCCTGGCCACAGACAAAGCATGGAGAAGGCAAATGTTGAAGTTCATGGCGGAGTCGCCTGTCCGACGCCCACAGACTATATTTCAACGCTAGCCAAGTAAAGATCTTGCATTTTAAAGGCGCCTAACATTTCAATGTACACAGTACACACAGCCTCAGAGAATTGTGTGATTCCTTGGCAAAGCATATCGTAGACATAACTAGCAGAGTAGTGCCCAGGTCGGGCCCAGATCCAGGTAAAGGAATCCGGGACGCTATCACTAAGAGAGATATCAAAACACTAATAAAGGATGCTGATCCTACCTATATCCATTGTAGAGTATCAGCTAAGGCCCGGTACCACTAGAAATCTTCTCGTGTAGTACATACTGATTTGCTGACTGATGAAGATACCTTTGTAGTTGCTCTAAAGTAGATCATGCAATAAATGCTTGCAAGGAATACATTAGCAAAGTCGGCACCAGAACCATGTCTCTTCACAGCAATAGTAGACAAACTAAGTTTCCTCCTTTTTGCTTCACAAATTCGAGAGGTTAGCAAACCTAGGTTTTTCAATTCTTAACGGCAACTTTGGAGTTTCTGTGGATCTTTCTATCTTTTACATCTGCAGCTCATATGCTTTTGGTAAGGAAACAACTATACAAGCAATCCTCAAATGGATCACACTTCATCATATTTACGATACATTATTATCATCAAACACCAACAGTGAAACAAAGTTAGTAAGTTACCACAGAAGTTACAAAAGTATATCTAAACCAGACAAGGGGGTAGCATTTTTACGAACGCTACTCTAATGCGAGGCTAAATTCCATAACATCATGAACATAAGTATTATGAGGCGCATATTGTTTGGGAGCAAATTATCAGATGTAATAAAACCTAGTCGTATAACAGATAAGAGAGCCACCATCGAATTTGATATGACACATTAACTCTTATCATCATTAAGAACCTACAAACGGCAGCTCATCAAATAGAAGGGGCAAAAAAAAGCAGAAAACATGAAAAGTTGGTAGATGAACAAGCTTGAGCATGGACTACATCCAAAACGCTTGCACGTCATAGCTGGGCGCCTTGTAGAAGCGAGCAGGCCGGTGAGCCATGGTCGTGAGCTCACCGTCCTTGCCATACTTGACAATGAATGTGGTCACACGAAGCACATACTTCATCGTGTCCGCTCCCTCAGGTCGGAGGTGCTCCACGAGGCAGTACTTACTGCCCTCACCCATGTAAACGAGTTTTGCATCGAGATGTCTCCAGTGTGGTTGCTTGAGAAAAAGCTGCTCCCTGCCCACTTTCCTCTTTGGCGGCTGCCGGCCAGAGATGATGTGGCATGCACAAAGGTACCCCTCAGCATCAACCGTGTCAGCGGAATGGAGGTGGAGCCCGACCCATGCGTCGAGCAAACCATCATAGTGGGCAGGGCCTTTGAATGGCAGCACCCAATTACCACGGCGCTTCCACTGGCCACCACCTCTCGTGCCGTAGGACAATGTACACCAGACCCCCCGCCTACAAGCGGAAACAAAGATGGTGCCCGTCCGCGGGTGCACGGCAAGCGAGGTGATAAACTTGGGATCAAACGGAAAGTCAGGTGGACTGCCACCGAACTTAGCCCAGCTCCAAGAGAAACGCGAGGAATTGAACAAGGGTCGCCAAGTCCAGTCCCTCTCATCATCGTCCGGATCCGCAGAAAGGCAGTGGAAGCCCCCAAAATAATATAAACCGTCGGTGCCGTCGTTGTTGTCGCTGTATGATTCGAACACATATAGTCTGTTCCTGACGGCTATGGCTGAATCATAGCAGTTTTCTAGACCTTGCGGTAAAATATTTGACGTAGTAAGCGTAGATGTCTTCGTATCAAAGATGAGGGTGGCACTGCCGTGGGCCTCTTGTACGTGGGGTATTTCATGGGCGGAGGGGCTTGTGGCTATGATGTGGCTGCCAAGGGCAGCAAACTGCGCTCTTCTTCCAATTGTTGGAGGCCCTATGCGGAGGGCAGGCGGCTCGGAGAGGCGCAGCGGGGAACCTGCAGATCCGCAGCCGGTTTGTCGGGTCATTGTCCATGTCCAGCTTGTGGATGTTGAATCCGTCAGCGTGGTCATCAAGTGCCAGGTACAGATGCTGCTTCGTGGTCTGCTGTTGGCGCCGTTGCTTGGCTGTCCCAAAGTGGCGAGCCTGACCCAACCCGGAGGAAAGGATGAATCTTGCTGGTTCGTGCAGGTGCGGTGCATAGATCCGACCTCTCCCTGCTGCCTCCCTCCGCCCCCATCCTGCTGACTTCGACGGAGATCGGGATGAGGTGCCGAGGAACCGAAGGAGGTGCCGGAGATTCGACATTCGATCTATAAAACCAGGAGCAGCCGCCTGACCTCGAAACGATGAAGAGGTTGAAGACGTCGGCCGCCGCCACAATATCTGGAAGAAGCGGGGAGGTAAAACTGCACCAAAGATGAGATGAGGGCGTCTGTGTCACGACCTCTACGTTTTAGCCGTCGGATGATCTACAATGAGCTATTCATCGGCACCGGCACAAGCTGTTGGGGGGATGCTCCTCTCGGCATCAATTTGGCCCACTGTGGTTACTTGGGCTTTTCACCATATATTCGCGGAAATAAAACACGAATCGCTCGTTCTCCTCGCGGACTAACCTTCAGTATACAATTTACTGCTACCTTTTCAAATTCGACACATACAGCCCAGCTTTTCTCTTTCTTCTTTCGTCCTGTTCAATTACTTCCTGAAGCAAAGTGCATGGTTGTGTTTCTGCTAATTGCAGGTTTTATTACATGTATATATAACTCGTAGGATGCACAATTTTAAAATTCCTCCCTGCTGTGTGTATATATTATTGCAAGGTGAGTTGCTTTACGCCATCATTTACCCCTAATTTGCAGGCTATACATGGGCCATCAAGTGTAGCACTTCACTTGGGTTGCCCTCCTAAATCTCAATTAAATAACTCCTGACTTAATGGAGCATTCAGCTACTGTGTAAATCAGTCCCGTTAATAATACATCTGTACATAGGCCAAACTTTATTTAACTCCATATTTGTGTTTTGTAAATTATATTTTCCAATACACTACAAATATAGAGAAGAAAATTCCTTTACATTACACAGTGTTTTACCTGACAACAAATGAACATTTTATATACAAATGCACATATGCAAGTTAAATTCATCACACCTTGCAAACCATTAGTACTTCCATGTTATATTAATTTTTCAACATTTGCAAAATTGTTTAATTTCCAGTTCCTTGAGCGAGGCCATGTTTTCTTCATTATTCATAGAATGAAAAGCATGAAGTGGATATGAGTATATGATCCAAATGCTCCACTACTGTCAAAATACATGTATTAATATGAAAGGATTTGAGTTATATTTTTCGTGTTTTAACCTTCACCTATCAGTGGTAAAGATAATTAGATTATAACTTATATTGCGCTTAATACTGAATGACCAACAATTTCACATGTTTGTTATTCTAATAAGATATGTAAGCTAGATATAGTGCGACCCACTCATGTCAGACCCCCAAGAACCACTCTGTTCATGTACTACAGTATACGATTATGTTATGACCGGCCAGCAACAGGACCAGACCGCGACGATGTCGCCGCAGGACCAGCCGAGGCGACGGCGGTCCACCAACAAGGGATCACCTGGCCTGGACTCGAAGGTGGGGAGCATGGCTGGGCTGTCGAATGTGATGGTGAGACTGGTGGAGCGCACGGAGAAGCCGAAGCTGAGCATGCCGACACCTAAGGTCTTCGAGCATCTCTAGCAGATCCCGCAAATCAGGCCATCATACAAAATAAACGCCAGTTTGCGGGACGGTGACGGTTTTGCCGGTCTGAATAGATCCAGTAAATTCGGCTGTTCCGGTTTTGTTTTTGTGGGACCCCAAATCCACGGGCTTATTTCCTTTGTATCTATGAGATTTAAGTTTTTTTTACAGTGACCTGAAAACAACTTTTGGCTCCCGTCACGGAGCGCGACCTCGCCGGAACACCTTGAGGCCGGCAACCACCAGGCCCTAGCTGTCGCCACTGCTGAGCTGCCTCGCGAGCCGTGGCCACGCGAGCGCCCAAGCTGCGGTCTCGAGCTAGCTAGCTAGCTGCTGCCACCATCGCTAGCTAGCTGTTGTTGTCTGCTCCCCACGTCTGCCCCCGCGCCCGGCGCCGTCACCGGCAAGATGCGTGCTCCTCCTCGCGCGCTGCGGCACCTCCGCCCCAGCCCGTGCTTCGTACGCAGATGGGGAAATGTGGTGAGAAAGATGGACCCAATTGCAATTTAGTGGGCATTTTTGGGAGTTTGTGCAATGTTGCCGGGTCCATTAAATATTTTTATGGGATTTGTTCTGCCGGGGCAGAAATCATACTCAAACAAGATTTTGTGATATCCTGTAAACCGATTTTTACAGGACGATGTATACCAGATCTGCTAGAGATGCTCCGGCGACCACATGATGTTGGATGGTCGTGCTCGGGCCATCATAGGCTGCAGCAAAGAAAGACAGTGGGAGTGTGGGAGTGAGCTACACCAAGAGAGCTGAGCAGATCGATGGAGGGAGGACCGGCACCGCAACAAAATTAGAAGAGGGCGCTGTGGTGGAAAGAACGGTGGCGGTTTTAGCTTGTTGGCACATGGAAGAGAACTTTTTTGACTGCTCGGAGACAGGCAGCAAGGCTGGCTGACTATCGGTGAGCTTCACTGGGTGTGGGAGAATCTCCAGAACTAGGACAGAGTACAGATAGCAGTTGGCACATGTAGATGACTCGAGAGGCGACCAAAGCTGACAGCAGCATGCAGAAGGGCTGTCTCGTTTTCAATACTAGTAAACATTCACGTGCAACGCACGTTTCAAACTTAAAGTAAGTATCATAAGTATATATAAACAAAACATGAAATATTCTGAAAATATATGGTCAAATAAATACAGTGTTGCAATCATTGTGGATTTATGGTCGCGTTGCTGGACAATAACGAATGTTGTTTCACACATTCGGTGTTCTTATAGGTTGTAAGATAATATCAAATCTACCAATCCTTCCATCACAAAATCTACTGATTTTGCAGACGCATTTTCCTTTTCCTTCCATGGAGCCCTAGCATTTCATGATTGAATTGTCAGCTATATAAGAATTTATAGACATGACAGTCCATCAGCTATCGTAGAATGGCCTCCGTGAGCATCACTCATACCCAAATTGGCTGGCACAAATCTCAAAGAAAAAAAATTGGCTAGCACAAGTGGGGTCAAAACTGCAGCTTCTGCACCGCCTTCTACCTCCTTGAAACGAATAAGTGTATTCAAATAGATGATCGCCTTGCCATCCAGTGTTTGAACTCGCCTAGTGATGACATGTTTATTTTATCGCTCTACCCCCACAAGAGTCAAATGAGGCATACTGTTCATAGTTGCAGTTTGTCCGACAACCTGAAAATTTCAGCAAAGTACTTAATCGTAGAACTGCATTTTTCAACAATTTAGTTGCAATTCACTTTTCTTAAGTGGCCAAGACTGTTAATTTATAGACAACCTGAAAGTGTTCAGAAGTTTCATACATCCTCATGCTCTATGCCCAAATGTATATTGATAATTCAACCAGTTCCCGCTATCATTGAGTTATTACTTAAGCACCAAAAGGAGTCCCATTTCCACCTTCAATCAAATCAGCATACAGGGCTTGAAACTAAGATAGCTGGGAATCCTAGTATTAGGACCAGACGTTAACTTATTAGCAATGTAAGTAGTATCCCAGATAGTACTTGAACTCTCCATGCCTCCCAACCAGTGCAACTCCTTTTGTTTCATTGCCTGCAGTGTTAAAGGACATTGATGTGAATTCGACTGAGCTCATGCATTGGTTCAAATGGATCAACAAGTAGACTTGCAGTGCATGACAAGCCTCTAGAATCCAAACGTTATGAAACCAATTTATCTATTTTTTAAGCTTGTCTGAATAGTCATTTTACTAAAAATGTGAAGAAAATAAAAAATGGATAAAATTTTGACGACACTCACCACATCCAGTTTCCATGAATAACCGTGAAGCCAAAGATGTTGATCAGCAATTGCATCTAAAATGTAGCACACACATAAAGCAAAATAATTAGTATTTTGCATCTTGGGGCATCATTAATAAGCAAAGCAAAAGGATGGACTAAGCAAGTCTTCACAATCTAAGCTGTGGGGGAGCATGAACCAGATATTAGGAGGGGCCAAAATGAGTGTATGACATAAAAAAGGCTAGGGTGATCAGATACGCCGGAGGGTTAGTAGAACGATTAGCAGAAATATAAGCATATTTGCTAAAATTTCCTCTAGGAAGGGAGGTGGGGGCAAGGACCAGTAGTGTCCCGCCTATGCTCCAGTACTGCATCCAAGGTTATCCCTTTGTACATTTCACTGAACTATTCTGCAAAACATGAAGGACGAATATTTTATCAGCATAATTGCTATGAAAGAAAGATTTTGTACACACAATTCCATTGTTCCGCTAGTAAAGGTATCTTAAGTGATAGGAATTTGATTATATTTTTCTTAGAATGCACATCATCATGGTGAGTCCTGGATTTGCTGCACCCCCTCAATGCAAGCTGTACAAATACAAAATGGCACGGGATTCTAGAAAAATAAAGGGGGTGTTGAACAATCTGAACATACACTCATACACATATGCGCAGTAAAGTTATACAAAACAAATAAATTTTTTATTATCTACATCTTCTTAGTTAGATATATAAGAGAATACCATCACAAGTACTTGAGAACCTCGAGATTCAACCTGACATCATCCAAGCTCCTGATTTGGCTGTACAAAAGTCAACAGAAATGAGCTAAACAAGAAATCGAGCAAAGCTTTAAAGTGCAAACAACTACTTATGGTTCTCCCCTTTCTGAATAAATTAACCAACTATGCACCGTAATTATTCCGAAATTTGACTGCTATTTTTATATCTGATACTAAAAAATCATTTAGAAATAGAACAATACTGATACTTTAGATTTCCAAACAGTCATAAAGGAAAGATTTTTAAACACCCATAC